GTTATAATATTAACTCAAAGGGGACATATATAATGGAGTTCATAGGTACAATTCTAAGAACAGAAATGTGCAAATCCCAGTTGTTTTGCATCCTTACTATCACTTATTTTTTCCAGCCTTTTCACTTTTAAGCATTGTACTGGGTGTGAAGTAGTACTGAACTGTTAATTAAATTGGCCTTGGATGCCAGTTCTTACTGATGCCAGGAGATAATGAGCATCTTTTTCAAGTGCTTATGAGTTGGTTGTATATTATCTATGAAAAGGGTCCAAATCTTATGACCACCTTCTGAACAGGAACTTCTACATATTCTGAAACATAACTCATTTGAGATAAACTTTGAATCAGATGGCACACCCAAATGGATTTTGAAACCCCTCTCTGTTATTTCATCTTCTTTACTTCTCTACCCTGGAAATTCCATAAACATAAACTGGCCATAAAACTAATATTTACTTCACAACTCATTTTGTTGCCCTGATGCATTCTGCTCTGACATTTATGTCACAGCTGGGAAGCTCTCCTTGTTGGATAGTTTGCTGATTGCTAGAATCAATCTCATGAATCAACTTGTTTGCTGGAATCAAAACCTTATACATCCCATTTCCCAACATCTGAAAAAAAAAAAGCTGCTTTAAGCATTGCAAATAGATTTAGGATTGTTGATAACTTTGGGACTGATTCTATATTCAGTTATTTTTTCATGAGTGGTGGTAGAAATATTGTTTCATGGGACTTAAGAATGGAGTCATCCACAATAGGGAGAGTGCATAAATCAGATTACAGAGTTATTAAAAATGTTTTACATTCAGTAATATATTTAAACAAATATTTTATGGTAAAAATGTAAATGCTTTCTCTAAAAATTATAAGACAATGAGAAAATAGATAAGAACATGATAAAAGCGACAAAATACAGTTTTTATTTTTTTAAATACCTACACATATGGAGAGAGAGAGAAACAAAGAATTTGAAAGCTTCCATTTTCTGCCTGATTCCCCAAGTGTCCTCATTGGCTGGACATGGATGGGGCTTGAACTCAACCCAGGTCTCCCAGATGGGTAGTAAGAACCCAGTCATCCTAGGTCCGAAGTGATGAGAAGCTAGATTCAAAAGTTGGAGCTGGATGTTGAACTCAGTTATTTGATGTGTAAGACAAGGGCATCCTAAGTAGCAGCATTACTGTCAAGCCACATGATCACTGCTATAATTAGTTCTTATTAGGAAAATTAATGTCTCAGTGTCCCTTAATGTGTGAAAACTTCATTAATTCTTTCTAGAAAAATATAAATCTTAATATTTGCATAAAAATATAACTTAAAGAAGAGATCTGAACATGAAAATATTGTGGCTGCTTATTCACTTTGAAAACATTGGTAGTCAAACCAGAATTGAGAACAGATTAATAGCTACAGGGAGTGGTCATGAAAAATTGTCGGGTCACCTGTAGTTACAAAAAGGAAGTGAGAATAATTGTGATGAAACTGTTGACTTGATAAATATTGGAAGGAATGAAAATAAGTGAATATTGTCTGGATGTATTTGTATAACTAAGATTAGACAGGTTCAATCTTTTTAGTCACTTCCTACTCAGTCTATACATTTAATTTTATAATATTTGGTGATAAGTGTTTCCCACAATGCAAAATGCAATTAAAATGTAATTTTATGTCAGTAAAATATTGTTTTAGTTTCTGTTTTAGTACAATAAAAACTAAAGGGAGCTCATTTCCCATAAAAGAGTTTAAGATAATAGTTATTGTTTGTCACACTGTAGATGACATTTTATTTTAAGACTCAATAGCTCAGATTTGTTTTACAATTTGAGGATAAATCAAGATGTTAAAAGGGATAACTATTTGCAAGACACCTGTCCAATAAACAATACGTAGAATATATCAACAACTGAAAACAGAAACAACAAAGCAATTATTCCACATAATGGGTCAGAGGTCACGAAAACAGTTCTCAAAAGAAGAAATACATATGGCCAACGAATGTATGGAAAAACACTCAGCATCCCTAACCAATAGGGAAATGCAAATCTAAAACCACAGTGTGATACCACCTCATGCCTGTCAGAAAGACTGTTGTCTGAAGAGAAGTAACAACTGCTGGCAAGGAGGTAGAGAAGGGGGACATCTGGCATATGGTTGGTGGAAATGGACTCTAGTGTAGTTATGGTGGAAGACCATGTGAAGATTTCTGAGAAAGTCAATTACTTAAAAAGAAATAGACTTGCCAATTGATCCACATATCTCAATTCCGGATTACCTATTTAAAATACATAAATACATTATATCAAAGAGATATATTTGCCCTGTGTATTAGAGCATGATTCACAAGAGCAAAAAGGACTCAACCAGTATGTTTATTATTAGATGAAGGTGTGATGCAAGGTCAGATTATTGGGATGAGCTGAAAATAATATGTAAAGATCAAATTCATTGAGCAGTGGTATTTGATAGTTTATAAACATAATCTTTCTATTATATTTACCCATCTAGTCAGTCAGTCCCTATTAATCCAGCAATAGAAATTTCACATTGCAGAGACTCAGAAAACCCCAACCTGGCTTAGAGGTAAGAGGGTCATGCCGCTTATGGATTAATTCTCAGCAAGAATGTTGGAGTTGGGAGTATTTTTAGGCAGTGTGAGAATTTCACCTGAGTTTCATTCTTTAAATACTCTTACCATTGTGTGCAGGCTGTACAAAAAGGAACTCCATCAATTTTTGTTGGACTAAAACTAATTGTTTCATAAAATTTTTCAAAGTTTTTATTTATTTGGAGGATAGAACTGCTGAGAGAGAAAGAGGGAGAGAAAACGGAAGAGAGAAGAGAAGGGAGGGGAGGGGAGTACCTTATTTGATCCTTTGCCAATTAAGAGGTGAAAATGCATATATGTGTGAATATAGGAGGAGACACGGAGCGTAACACACAATGCCAAATAGTATAGTGAAACTAGAACATCAGAATTGATATCATGAAGGAATATTCAAAATTCAAAACTAAGTGACAGGTGATATTTTTGAGGAGTTCTATAATCTTTTCTCAAGATCTTTTCTCTCTATGGTATATATTTTTTCTCACTGATTTTGATATTATTTTATGATACAGTTCCATTGGCCCTGGGATTTCCCTCATCCCTTCCCCAATTCCTTCCCTGCTCAATGAGTTCCCCTTTTTTATTACAATAGTTTAGTTGTTCATAAGTAGTCATATGTCCATCATTGTGGGAATGGACAATGGCGAGGAGTCCAGCATCCTATTGTCAAGATATAGTTAACAGTTTCATTGGGAGTCCATCTTTGATCTGAAAGTAGAGATGCATACTGCATTGCATCCTCACATCTGGATATGATAGTCTCCATTACACAGTTATACATCACTAAATGAAAAGCCACAAAACAAAATCAACAACAGGAAGAAAAAAAGAAGTTAGCAATGATGTGAAGTTAACATGTTACTGAATGACTAATGTGTCACTAAAGAAATGAAAAAGAAAATCAAGAATCTTCTTGAAGAAAATCCTACTGTATGACCTATGAGTCAGTGAAGAATTCAGTGAGAAAGTTTTAAAGATATGAAACCAAAAATCAAAACCTCAAAATCCATGAGATACAGCTTCTGCTGATCTTTGTTGATGAGATTAGCCCAGTGCTTTGAGCAAATTTTTACTGTGAAAACTGTTACTATTACTAATATATATTAGTATATATATAGTATCTATGTAAATATACATATAAACTCATCTATGTTCAAACACCTAAGAGTGAACATTTTACAGATGAAAAGCCTATTTTTACAGAAATTAGGCATTTTGAGGGGGTTATAAGGATTCATAAAGACTGACATTCAAATGAAAGTATCTAAAACCCTTTGCCATCTGTTGGTTGACAATGAAACGGAAGACATAACTCTTCTGTTGTACAAGGTCAACTGAAATGAGGACATTACTGTGTTGTCAGGAAGGTCCTGGGCACATTTTGTCTCCTGTTTAAGATCAGTGGTTGTGACTGTAATCCAGCCTGGTGGAGTCCTTAATCAGAAGGACTGCAAGTAATCACTTTGGTGGAGTTTCATGGACAAGTTTGCTGTGCTTCTGCAACCTTCAGTCAATTTGGGACATGTCAGGATTAGAATCAGTGAGGCACATCAGACTGAGTGGATTTTGTGATGAGTACAGCTTGAATGCTTTAGTGAGAAAAAGAACATCAATCACTCTTCGCATGAGACTCCAATTTTCAGAAATGGAATATGGAAAATGAGGTTACTCTGAGGATAAAGGAGACCTTTTATTTATTTATTTGAGTCAGAAAAACTTAGGATGGATTTAAGAAAGAACTTTTCAGTGTATATCTATTTGGATATTACCGACTTTGAAAATTGTGGAATCTCTTTGAAGGGAGTGTTTAGAATACATTGTAATTTCTAAACTGACACAGCAAATACAATTTTGAAAAACTTTGTTTTATTTTTGTCAAACCGAGAATGTTAAGAATTTTAAACTGATGCTTAAACCTGTAGTTTTAATGATATGTGATTATGTTATAATTAACTATTGGGGTGAAATGGTCAATTTAATTGGCTGTATTCCTGCTAAACTAAGGTCTTTTTAGTTGTTAAACTTCTTAGTGAAGTATTAAATCTTCTAATAGAATATAAATTTAAAATCTGTCAAAAGCTGAAAAGGGAAGGGAAGAGAAGAGGGTGAGAGAGAAGGAGAGGAGGGAGGAAGGGGGTATAATTCTGTTCTTAGAATTGCATATACAAATCACATTAAATCTGTCAATAACTAATTACAGTTAAAATTTAAAAAGAACATTTAAACATAGTTCACGGTCTATTAAAAATCAAATGGATGACTTGTTTGCTGCCCTTTTGTTCCTGAAGCCATGGGACACTAAACCAACTTTTGGAGTTTGATGTGTTTTATTTTGTGTTGTGTTTTCACATTCATTTTTATTATTTGTATTTTGAGTATTAAGCTACCATAGATGAATGTAGATTAGCTTTCTGATACTTTTCTTAAAAGGAGCTATTTATTTTCATAGGAAAGGCAGATTTACAGAGGGATAAAGATCACCTATCTGCTGGTTCACTCCTTAAATGGCTACAATGGTCAGAACTGAGCTGATTTGAAACCAGGAGCCAGGTCCTCTTTTTGGTGTCCACGTGGGCTTTGGGTCCTAAGGCTTTGAGGCGTTCTCCACTGCTTCCCCAGCCACAGGCAGGGAGCTGGATGGGAAATGGATCAGCCTGGACACAAACCCTTGCCCATATGGGAATCCAGTGCTTGGAGGTGGTGGATTAGCTAATTGAGCCAATGCTCTAACCCTGAGAGTTCAGATAATTTTTCAGATTCTTTTTCTGATTTATTTATCAAGCCACCTATTATAGAAATTGAAGATCACTGACATCTATGAAGCCAAAAATATTGTGCATAGCCTGAACTTTCTGGTTGACTACTCTATGTGAAACTGTTTACATCTTTTATCTGCTTTGTCTTTAGAGGTAAACAAAAGCATTTACTTTAGCTACCCGTGTCGACGTCATAGCTGTTCTTTAGTAAACATCCCAGCCCCATGTGTCAGCAAGATTATTTCACACATTGATGATGTGGAATCCAAAATACAGCAGCATTTAAAGCAGGTGAGAGACACTGAAAATACTAACATTTTGTGGGTTTTATTGTAATTTTTTAGGAAATGCTGATTGAAATACTTGTTAGCATGTTTGCTTAGATGTATTATTTAGTAGTCCAGACGTGTTTTCAATAGCCTCGCTCCAAAAGGGTGAAACGACCTTATTAAATAGATTTCCCCATGTGTTTGTTCTTTATCCAGAGGCAATCATGTTAAGTAGTAATTTCCATAAGCCAACTTGACTAGTAAATTAAATAGTATTTACATCCTTTTTGGGATACTAAACTGATTAGATGATTAGAAGAGTGAATCAGTGTATAAAAGGACGGTGTGCCCTTTTCAATGTGTTACTTTGTTCAAAAGCAATTCCAAATAGGTTAGTTGAAAGAGAATGCAATGAGCCATTCTTTCTATTTTTAACCTGTTAAACTTTGTCTTTATTATCTTTTGAAGGAAGTTGAATCTTGAAATAACTAACTTTTCAAATGTTTTTAATAAGTACTCAAAATGATTTTCTAAAAAAAATTATTTTTATTGAAAGATAAAGTTAGAGATAAACACACACTCTCCAGATGGCCTCAACAGCCATGGCTGAGTCAGGCAGAAGCCAAGAGCCAGGAATTCCAACCTGCTCTCCCATGTGGGTGCAGGGGCCCAGGTACCTTACCCATCCTCCACTGCCTTTCACCAGGTCAGAGAGCTAAAGTGAAAGTTGGGTAGTCCAAACTCAAACTGGTGATCATAATGGATATAACACTAGCAGGTAATAGCTTTACCTGCTAAACAGTAACACTGGTTCCAAGGTTGACTCTTTTTAAAAATTCACAAACCTTTCATTAATATTAAATTTCTTTTATGTTTTTAAGGCTTTATTTATTTTCATTGGAAATGCAGATTTGCAGAGAGGAGAAATATCTTCTATCTAGTGGTTCTCTGTCTAGATGGCGGTGACAGCTGGAGCTGAGCCAGTCTGAAGCCAGGAGCCAGGAGTTTCTTCCATGTCTCCCATGAGGGTGTAGGTTCCCCAGGCTTTCTATGTTGTATCTTTTTCTGGTTTGGAGTTAAGGTGATACTGGTCTTACAGAAGGAGTTTGGGAAGATTCCCTCCTCAATTGTTTTGAATAGTTTAAGAAGAATTTGGATTAGTTCTTTGAAAGTTTTACAGAATCGAGCAATGAAGCTATGCAGTCCTGGAATTCTATTTCTTGGGAGAGTCTTTATTATTGATTTGATCTCTGTCCTGGTTATTTCTGTGTTTTGGTTTCCTATGACAACTTCACTCAATTATGATAAATTATGATAAGTTGTGTTTGTCCAGAAATCTACAGTATCCAGTTTTTTCATGTAACTGTAGTAATTCCCGAAGACTCTTTTTCCTTCTATAGTATATGCTGTAGCATTCTTTGTCATCTCTGATTTTATTTCCCTGGATCTTTCTCCCTCTTTTTCGTAAGTTGCACAAATGGTATATGCATTTTGTTTACTTTTTAGAAACCAGCTCTTTATTTCACTGATTGTTTTGATCATTTTTGGTTTCATTTTGTTTATTTCTTGTTTAATTTTTATGATTTCTGTCCTCTGCTAATTTGTGATTTGATTTATTCTTGTTTCTCTAGATCCTTGAGATGTATTGTTAAATCATTTTTGTTATTGCCTGTCTGATTTCCTGACATAGGCACTTACTGCTAAAAACTTTCTTCTTAATATTATTTTTACTATATCCTGCATGTTTTAAATCATTTTCATTTTATTCATGTTTAGAATTTTTTTTAAATTCCATTTTTTATTTCTTCCATCGCCTACTGTTTATTCAAGGGCATTAAATTTAGTCTCACTATATTTCCATATTTTCTAAAACCTTTTAAGCTTCCAACTTCATTCTTCTGAGGTTAGGAAAAATGTTATTTTATTTATTTATTTTTGATTTGTTGAGACTTGATTTTGGCCTAGCATATAGTATATCCTAGAAAAATCTCCATGCATTGAATTATAGCTGGGCCTTCCTTGTGTAGGTCCTTGGGTTATTGGGGTGCGTGCCTGGCCCACATGTAGCTGGTAGTGTGGGTAACAAGAACATGAATGCATCCTTCCCAGGCACAGATTTCTGCCTGATGCTAGAGAAGACCTAGGCGTTCTCTCCCCAGAGCACAGGGCTGCAGTTAGTGCCCTTTGTGCCTCAAGTGGTGCTCAGCCCCACCACGGAAGGCTTATCGCTGATTTCCAAGGCAAAGGCCCATGCTCACTTTCCTGCCCTATCTGCAGGATCTGGAGTTAAGGGATCCGTGGTGGTGGTGGTTTCTTGGCAGCCTGGCCAAAAATTCACAGGTTCCACTATAGGTACTGTCCTGGGAGCTCCAACTGTTGCTCTCTACCCAGTTCTGGGTTTCACCATAGTAAACCATGTATGAAGTTCCAAGTGTAAAATCTGAGCTTGATTCTCTCTCCTTTCCCATGCTTAGTGTTGGGAGCGAGGTGACGTGAATAACTCTTTCTTTACTGCCTTCTATAATGCATCTTTTCTTGTACAACAACCAGGCATTATAGTCTCTTATTCATTTTCCTGCACTCTTGGGAAAGTCAGGGGTTGGAGCTGTGTGGGTTGAGTGCTGGAGCTTCTTGCTATCTTGCTGCAAACCCTGTTCCTCACATTCTTTGACCCCATCTCTTGAATGCATCTCAAAGCCGAAAATTCATGCTCCTCTGCCCCCACACCCTGTTGTATTAAGTTACTTTAGGCCAATTTTACTCTTTGCTGAATAATATAGTAACAAGCCTTTCTTGCAATTTTTCCTCTCAAGGTATATTCTACTCACTTGTTCTTCATAAAACAGGCCATATACCTTGTTTTCTTAAGTATGTTATCAGTAATTTTAAAACTGTCTTCTGAAACTTTCTTGCCCAGTCTCCTTGGCATGGAATAAAAGCAAAACAAAATAAAATAAAACATAAACAACAAACAAAACTAGATCTCCCTTTGCAGGATAGTATATTTAGGCTTCATTTCCCTTCATATACTTTGCTTACTTTATCTTCTTTCATTCATTCATTCAGCTACTTTATTAACCCTATTTAATCCTCATTCCTTCCCGTAAGAACTATTTGCCTTCGTAAATGTAATATAAGTATCTTTCCTTAAAATTTTATATGACATTTTGCTGACCAATGCTGTGAAAATTATATATTACATTGTGGTATTTTTTGTGTGTCTCTCTCACAAGATTATATGATCTTAGAATTTAGGGTCTACATACAATTGACTACTAATCATAGTGTATTTTAGAACATGGAAAATTATAGGCATCAAAGAAATTTAGTGAATAGATTCAGAAATAATGTCCTGAATTATGCCAAATTCTTCTTGAGATTACAGTTTTAAAAATGGGAAGGATTTGCTTGGTCCTTAAAAAGTTTTAGATTTTACATGTTGCTTGGTAAGCATTGTTTATATTTGTAAAATAATTTGGGCATTTAAATAGCATATCTACCTGAAATGCTAAATTGAATGTAAATTCAAGGATATGGAAATTCTTTTTGGAAATACTGTTCACTGATAATACACACCCAACAAATGTCACAGGATACAAAAGCAAACTCTTAACAAGAAGCCATTTTTTTTTCTAATTTTTTTAGAGTGAAAATTAAAGGTCTTATGTATACTTTTTTGGTTTGTAATGTAGTATTTAATTTTTCAAATATTTGGCAATATTTTACAATAAAAGTATAAAGATAACCAGTTGAATGAAACAGGAGATCATGGGCAATGTGGCTTAGAGCTATAAGTAAATGAAGTGTTTCATTTCCCCTATAATGTGATAATTTTTAAAACTACATTGATTTTGTATTTCACTCCTTTCATACCTGTACTGTTGCTTGCTCTTCTGAAAAAGACAGAAATAGGAAGTTCAAGGGATTTTGTGATTATTTGGGTATAATTGAATCTGTCATATATAGTAATCATAATTTCCAAGTATCCAAAATATTGATAACCACAAATGGAAGTCTAAGCTTAAGTCTAATAAAAAATCTCTTTAAAATAATCATATAACGTGTCTGAGAGATTTCGAAAAACTTATGCAAATATTTCAAGTACACAATTGTGAATGTGGAATTTCAATTCCTTCTCTAGTTTTATAGTAGGCCTTTCAATATGAGCCATTTAAATATACCGAATAAACATTATTTGAATATGGTTTCTGAAATGTGCCCCCAACATCAGATAAAAGACTGACTAAAATAACTTCTCTTATATCTCCATTTGTATTACAATGCTTACATTTGCAAAGCTATTGAATTACCACCTTAACATACATCTTTCTACCATGTTCAACTCTATTTCTGAAAATTTCAGTAATTTGTTTTTATCTTTATGAAATATATCAAGTTCTGTTGCACTTAAAAGAACAAATTGTGAATAGTAATTAAGCATTAGTCTGTTGTGGAGAATTTTTAATTTTTTATCTAATTATGTTACCATTCACGGTCTACTTCACTTCCTAGAATTATTGTACTTTTCATCCTGATTTCTACACTCTGCAGGATTCTGATTTGCCAGTAAAGTCTAGTCACACACACTCAGAATATTCTCTTCTCTGTGAAATACCTGTTTATCATTTGCTCCTTTTCCTTTGGGTTTACTTGCACATTCTCATTGATTTGTGGGAACAGTTTATTACCACTAGTAAATATTTATGTTTTAGACATTTTCTCCATGATTGTGGTTTTATTTATTTTTTTGATGGAATACATTACCAAAAGCTTCTTAATTTGAGTGGACTTAAATGTATCATTTAACCCTTATTTGGTTTCTTATATAAGAAATCTTCCTATACTGCAAGAGCAGACATATTTTACCTTTATATATTCTAAAAGTGTACTAGCTCTTTACTGGAAATGCAATTCTATAACAGTTCTACCTTTCTCGTGGTTTTTTTGTTGTTTTATCATGAGCAGGCTAGATAGAATAGCAGCTCCAACCTCTCTTCCAAGGTTTTTTTTTTCTCTGCCCTCTGATTGTTGGCTAATATTCTGGTTGAGTGAAGTGTGCTTAGAAGACCCCACTAAAACAGTTTCTCATTTCTTCCTCTCATAGATCATGCCTTCTGACTGATGTGGCAGAAAGTTTCTGAGCTAAACAACGTACTCTCCTGAATCACACTTTCATTCTCTCTCTCTCTCACATACAATTGATTTGGTTTTATGAAAATAGAATACATATATGATCTCATGTAATATAAAACTTATTTTTCTCAACATGTATTTGATTTCTAAGAGTCACTTACTTTAGAAATCACTTTGCAGCCACATGGGTCCAACTGGAAACCATATGCTGACAGCAATGAGCCAGTCCCAAAGCCTGTGGTAGACTGAACCTAACAGGATGTATAACGGAAATGTGGCAGAAATAAGTATGTTCGTAGGTAGAAACAGAAGTATGTCCCCACGCCTGCAGGACAAGGATGGAGTCACAGCGAAACAGCAGATAATCTGCTATATTGTTGGGAGACACTGCAGCGCCAGTGTGATGGACTTGTGAGGGTACATGAGAGATGCCTATTGTAAGACTGGAGGGGAGAGCCTTGGGGAGAGAAGAGGACATGGGAAGGGAGAGGCCAGACCCAAGTGCCTATTAAAATTAAAAAAAATAAAGAAATCATACATACCAAATGCATCATGTATATTTTTATATAGATTTTATCTGATTCTGTTTTCTTTAGCCCACGTGTCAATTTTATTTCCCTATATCTGTGTCATTTATCTACCTTGTATATTTCATGTTACATTTTATATCTGATACAGAGTTTTTTTTTAAATCTTTTTTTAAAGTTCCTCAGTTTTTAGAGGTTTATTGTCCCCTCATAAAAATTTAGAATACGATTATTGTTTAAAAAAAAAACCTCATTGGAATTTCAAATAGAAAAGCATTCAGCATTTGGATTGTGAAGGTGGGTTTAGTTTCTTTCAGGGCTTTCGTTTTTTGATTCTATCCTGTTGGCACTATTACCAACGTAAGAAAATTCCAGAAAAGTCGCTAACACCAAACCCTGTTTACAACAGAACGAATAAGAGGACATGGGGAAGAGGAGGGAATTGCTGAATACTGCGATGTTAAAATACTGATTCCATCAGACGTATTTTATAAATATCAGGCTATGTTTGTATACTCCCCATTGCTTAGATCATTTAGTATTGAGATTTCTTTGTGCTATCCATTTGATTTACCTTTTGTTTATCACAGTCCATATGCTTTCCAATTTTTATCTTTTTTGAAATTTATAAAAGTTATTCTATATGAACCACAATTTATTTATGATATTTCCCTCATTAATTATTATTATTATTATTATTATTATTATTATTATTATTTGTAACCCAGCTGTTATTTGGAAAGTTCTAGGATTTTTATATTATTAAAAAATATTTCACTAATATCATCAGCAAAACTTTATTATTTAAAAATTTTTAGATATTGTATTAGTATCTTCAGATAATCTTAATTTTAATTGTTTATGACATGGGCCCATAACCCATTTTCTGAATCATTATCCAATTGATCCCAATATATTCTTTTATTTGGAAAGTATTTTATACTAGATTCTTATAGGTATGCTCTTTCTAGTTTACTGTTCTATTGAAGCATAACTTACTGACACCTTAATTGTTTTTAAGCTACTTTATTCTTGGATAATGATACTTTGTTTTTTTTTTAAAGATTTATTTTTATTATTTTTTTATTGGAAAGGCGGATATACAGAGAGGAGAGACAGACAGGAAGAACTTCCATCCGATGATTCACTCCCCAAGTGAGCTGCACGCAGGTGCAGGTTCCCAAAGCTTTGGGCCGTCCTCGACTGCTTTCCCGGGCCACAGGCAGGGAGCTGGAAGGGAAGCTGGGCTGCCGGGATAGAACCAGCGCCCATATGGGATCCCGGGCGTGCAAGGCGAGGACCTTAACCACTTGCGCCACTGCGCCACTGTGCCAGTCCCGAATAATGATACTTTGTTTTTAAGACTTACTTATTTTTATTGGGAAGGACAATTCACAGAGATTGATAGAACAGTGTTCTTCAAAGGTCCACAGTGGCTGTAGCTAAGCCAATATGAAGCCAGGAACCAGGAGCTTTTTGTTTTGTTTTGTTTTGTTTTTTTGATTTCCCACTTGAGTACAGGGACCCAAGGCTTTGAGCTGTACTCTGCTCTTGTAAGTGATGGAACAGACTGATCACTGGTTGCCAGTTTGTTTTTTGTTTGTTTGCTTCTTAGTAGCTATTTAAGTGCTTGTTGCATAGACTTTTATCTAATAAATAGGTATATTGGGACTTTATTACTGGAAATTGTGTTTAGGTTAAAAAGTGCTCAGGCTCTTCTTTTGCCTAAATAAGTTTACAACTGAGTTTGTATTACCCAATCCTTGATGAATCTGCCTTTGTTTTTTCTTATTCACCTTATTATGTCTATTGTGAGATTCTGCTGGTTACCAGCATTTTACTGTGTTTCTCCATGGAGGCATCATATCCCTTCTGGGATTGCCATTCCTTCTTAAATGGAACATCAATCAATCGAGCTAGAAGAGCTGTTTTCATGGCATAAACAGGGGACAATTTTCCAGCCATATTCTAATTTCTGGTAATGAAAAGCAGCAAGCCTGATTCACCTCATGCACAATAGTCTTCCAGTGACCATCTGATTATTCTTAGATTCTGGGAATTTCTCACAATCTCCACAGAGAAGCCTTTTTGACCTGCCTTCTTTTGAGATGAAGTGAAATTTGAGTGAGTGTTTGATAAAACAGTAAGAGTTAGAAGCATGAGCAGAAAGTATACAACTATTTGGTGGGAGTAATAATGAAGGAATAAGAGTGAGTTCTTTGAACATATTCAAGAAGTAACAAAAAAGCAAAGCTTGGAAAAATGTAGTAGCAGATGTGAAGTAAAAAATTGAAAATTTTATCAGTATGTTCAGGCTTAAGGGGAGTTTATGCACTGTCTTTTGGGATTTTCAAAATTAGATTCTCATTGAGATTTTTTTTAAATTTCAACAGCTTGAAACTTCCTTTGATGCATGGTAAGAACCTTTTATAATTTGTTATTGTTCCCTATGTTGAATTTTTTGATCCTCTTCTGTAGATGAAATTTGCTTCAAAGGAATAGGAAATTAAAGCAAGATGTTTCATATCAAATATTTCAGTGTGTGCTTTAAAATATAAGCATCAAGACATCACTGAAAATGGCAGAATAGGGATCTCTAAGGTTCTCTCTCTCTGTCTGTCTATAGATATATCTATATATATATAAGCTCCCTCTATAAAAGCACCTCTAAATCTATCACAAAGAAATCAGCTACCAGGGCAGACATTTTGGAGCAACTAGGGACCAGCCTAGGAAGGACAGAAACTGCTGCACAGCCATTAAGGAAGCACCATAGCATATTCACCTGCTGCTTCCTAGCCTGCGACTTTCAGGTTGATGGTAGCCAGGAAGAAAGAAGACTTCACTGTGGCATAAACTGGACCAGAAACACAAGGAGAACTTTGGCATATCAGACTGCACCTAGATGGACCAGCAAGAATGCCTGTGTTCATTTGCCTCATACTATCACAAGGCTGTGGAAATGTTCAGACAGGATTTGCTGAAAGCCTCGAAAGTTGTAAACTTGCCACAGCTGTCTGGAGTAATGGATAACGATTGGCATTAGCACGTTAGAAAAGAGGATGTCTAGAAAGACAGTATTAGGGAAAGAAAACCATGAAGGAATAGGATTTTTTTGTGATATCAGTATATATTGGAATCTCCAGAAGACAAGATGAGGACTAGCCATATGCTCAGAAAATAACTAAGAATACCCTAATATTTATCTTCTGGTTAGCAGTTAGGATCTGCACAGGCAAGAACTGAAGTCAATGAATGGTTGTAAGTGGGCTGGATAACATTGAAGGGATACTCCAATATAGAGTCAGGCTGCTAATTTAGAATTTATTTTTCCTTTCCTCTCATTCCAGGCAATCAAGTTCACTAAGACAAAACATTGGCTTACCATTAAGCTAGAAAAAAAAATTTAGTGTCCAAAAATGATAGAGAAGCACAAATCACAAAAATTGTTTGGAAGAATCACTAAACAAATTACAACTCACAAAAAAGAGTAACAAGAAATTTACTTTAACATAAAGCGTAAAACATCTGATTTGCTTTAAAAATTATTAGGCATATGGAGAAAAAAGGTCCATTCTTGACAAGAAAAAAAACACTAAAATAAACTATTTTTAGGAACTCTTAAAAGTGAATTTATTGAAGTCGGTTCCTGGCACCTGGCATCAGGCTGTTGTGGCCATTTGAGCAGGATACGAGCGCTTGGAAGATTTGCTCTGTTTCCCCATCTCTGTCTTGGTCATTCTGCCAAATAAGTAAATATGTCTTTAAGAGAAAGGTGAAGACTAGGGAGGAGTTTTATGGTATAGCAGGTGAAGCTACCACTTGTGGCACCTGCATTCCATTTGAATCTCGGTTACTCTCAATTGTGCTTCCTGCTAGTGCATCCTGGCTGGCAGCTGAGGGTACCTGTAGTGCCTGGGATCTGCCATCTCCATGGGACACTCCCAAGGAGGTCAGCTTGTCTCAGCCCTGGTTGTTGCAGGCATCGGGGGAACCAAGCAGAGAGTGGAATGCTTGTATCGCTCTATCACTCTTTCAGGAAAATCAAAATAAATTTTAAAATAAACTTTTACAAGTTTTACATAATTCAGACATCCCCAGATGAACAGAATTTAGGGGATATATATCTGATAGACTTATCTCTAAAAATCCCAAAGGGATGCTTTCAGGTCGAAATGAAAGTACATCGGATTTTAACTCAAATACACTTGAAGAAATAAAGGATAATGATAACAATAGCAACCACAAGGTAAATAGAGTAATTTGATTTCTGCATACATTTTTTGACTAAAATAAAAATGGATAATACTCATAAATATGTGTTGGTGACTCAGAGTATACAAATAAGTACATTTGTGCAAGAGACACCAAAAACCCTCAAAAGAGCATGGCTTTTTCTATTATTGAAACTACATTTACCTTAATTTGCACTTAAGTTTGTAGTTAAGAAGCTAATTGAAATTCCCACTGTAACAGCAAAATTACTAAAAAATTATTTTTATTGAAACCGTGTAATAAAACACAGACATGAAAAATAACCATGAAGTCATTGAGGAATAGGAAGATATTAATAATACAAAATGGATTAAGGTCTCCAAATGAAATGTGTGTAGACATGTAGCAACATGACCTCAAAACATACAGAATGATATAGTAGCAGTTTGAGAATTTAAGTGCCCCTTCTCTTAATAATGGATAAAAGAATAAAATGGGGTGAGGGACATAATGAAGTCACTTGAACAATGCAAGAACCAAAGAGACCCAACAAACTTATACAGTACTTTTAAAGAGTTTTTTTGTTTGTTTGTTTGTTTTTGGAATGGCAGATATACAGAGAGGAGATACAAAACAAAGAGAGTTTTTTCCATTTATTCACTTCTCAAGGAGCAGCAAGGGCTGGAGCTGAGCCAATCTGATGCCAGCCACTAGGGCCTTCTTCCAGGTCTCCCGCATGGGTGCAGGGTCCCAAGGCTTTGGGCCATATTCAACTGCTTTCCCAGGCCATAAGCAAGGAGCTGGATGAAAAGTGGAGCATCTAGTATGAACTGGCACCCATATGGCATCCTGATGTGTGCAAGGTGAGAACTTGAGCCACTAAACTACCACGCCAGGCTCAGGAATATTCTTTTAATATACACATAATTCACAATATATAAAAACGTTATGTACCTACAGATATCAATAAAATTAAAATATGTTTTTTCCTACTGATTAGAATGAAACTGGAAATCAATAACAAACTGATAAAACCCATATTAACATAGAAATTAATTTTAAAAACAGCTAAAGCAATGATCACAGAATAAATTCAAAATCATTTTAAAGTGAAGATATCAAAATTGGATGCAGCAAAATAGTATTCAGGGAGAACTCTTGAGCTGCAAATTTTTACATTAAAAAGCAAAATACCAAGTAGAAATAAATAAGAATATTAAAATAATAATCAATTAAAATAAAATTTTAAAAATCAGCCAAATTCAAAAACCTTTAGCTACAATGACAAAAGCAGCAAAGGTTCATGCCTCTAAAACCATAGAGTATACTGCATTGTACACTAATACACAGTGGTGTATCTACAAATACTGCAGCCAAGATAAAAAGAACCAGAGACACTTAAACATCAAAACTGACCCAAAAAGAAGTAGAAAATCTGAACAGACCCATTTCAAATAAATAGCTCAAGTCAATGATCCAAAGAGTACCACAGTGCAAATCCCCTGGCCAGATTGTATCTCCAGTGTATTCTACAACAGCATAGCACCCTGTCCAAACTCTTCCAAGTCAGAAAAGAGGAACCTTACTAACATTTTATAAGAATAGTACTTTCTTAATATTAAAGGCAGATGAAAAAATCACAAAATTGGAGAGCAGTCTCTTTATAAATATTCACATCAAAATCTCCAACAAAATACTAGCTACTCATATGTAGGAAACATTTGTAGGCTTGTACATCATGACAATGTCTTATTTTTCCTAGGAATATGAGGGAAGTTCAATATAGAAAAACCAGTGTATTATCAAGTATTAATAAAACAAGAGAAAGTCCATATGACAATCTCAATTGATGAGAAAAACATGTGATGCAAGCCAAGTTTTTTATCCCAAATATGATGGTTTTAAAGGACCGTATTAAGCATAAAAGCAGGCATTTATGGAAAACCCCTTGGCTCACATTATACTTAAGGCTGAAGACTGAACTTTTGCAACCTAAGGTCATGAGTAACACATGAATTTCCTGCTCTCATCTTTCAATGTTGCAATCTGTACACACTGCTGGTGTGTCTGTAAAATTGCCCAGACAGCATGAAAAACTGTTGGTTTCTCCAAAAATAAAACCCAGTAATTACACTCCTTGATGCATACCCAAAAGTTATTAAAGCAAGGGCTCAAAGGAAACTTACATAAAAGTGTACATAACTTCAGTATTTCCAGCACCAAAAATGCAAAGCAGTGTCACATCCATCAGTGAACTAATAGGCAAATAAATGTTTTATATGTATGATGAAATATTCTATAAAAAGAGTCCTGATATATACATCTTGGGGAAACTATTAAAATTCAAAATTCTTATACAAGGTAAAAGGAACCAGAAGCAAAATATCAGTTATTATTATGATTCCAATTGTAGGAATTATCCTTCATAGATGAAAACAAATCTAAATTGTGAATATGATATGATTAATTTTATGTCATAGAACTTTTACCTCAATTAAAATAAAACAAAATCAATGTAGAACTTTGTTGGTCCAATCATCAACTGAACAGGAAAGAATAAAATTTAATTATGTATGATATCTTGTGATACCATGGCATTGACATTAAGCTGCTTTGGGGGAAAGCATTTACAAAATGATTCTGAGACAACTTTTAACTTTTTAAAAGTGAAAAGGCAAGGAAAATTACATGAGAATTTCTGACAAGAAAATTAAAGCTTGAACAAAATATAATTATTTTCTGACTTTGGAATAAATAAGCTTTTCTAAATCATGACACAATATCAAAACAAATATTATACAGTCATAAGAAATGTGAAACAATAATAAAATCTACCAAACATAATGTTATGTAATGAAATTAGAGTACAAAATTGTATGACTCTAATTTCATAACAATTAAGATATCGTAAGGTTGTTGGATTCTATGTTACCGCTAGAGAAATTAAACTAATATGGGCTTATTTTTAATGGGTCCATACACTACTTTCTTTGGTTAATTTCATTATATTTCTGTAATGAGCAAAAATTACTAGAATGAAAAATTTTTAAAACGAATTTCTCTGTTATTAATGCCAATTTTCTCAAATTTTATCAGAGAAAAAGCACTTCAAATTTTTTCATCTCGTTTGAAAGGGTAAGAGATGAAAAGAGAGAAAGAGACTGAGAAAAATAGGGAAAGGGTTGACAGGTTGACAAAGAGGGAGAGAGAGAGAGAAATCTGTCCATGGAATCAGTCCCCAGCTAGCTACCCTTGCTGTGACTGGGGTCAGGTCTCCCATGTGGGTGGCAGGGACTCAATACTTGAGTCATTGTTGGCTGCCTTATGGAGGTATGCATCAACAGGACACTGGATCAGGCATGGAACAACCAGGACATGAGCCAGACATTGCCGGCATTCCAAGCAGTGACCTTGCTGCTGTACAAACAAAATAAAAAGCAAAGCTTTTTTTTTTTTTTTAAACATAAAGCAGTGAAGGCTAGTTGAGGACTCTAAAATGACACCAGAGGAATGCTGATAGAGAAATATTTCATATAATATACAGCACTTTACCTACAAAGATACTTGAGGAAGAAAACAATATTTTGAGTATATGCCTAACAGTTTATTAACTTTTTAATTAATGTTTTACTAACAATAAATCTGAGGTGTTATTTTTACTCCTTATAATATGTATTGATTGGCCAGAAAATGCTAAATTGATATTAGAGAAATAGGTCATCTGCATTATTCTTGGTTAATTCCCTTTTTCATTTATAGCAACAATTTCTAGAAAAGGCTGATTTCTTTTTCCAAAATTACAGTTTTAAATGAGTAATGTGTGAAAAATCTTAAATTTCAATTAATTTACTATTAATTGTCAATCTCACTAGGTAATGCCATATATAGTATGTTTTTACTATAAACATTTGAAATTCAACATAAAAGTGCTATTTAAAATGTGTTCCATTAAGCACAACCTCCTTCATCAAATAGGAGCAGAACTTCTTCCATGAAAGACTTGAAAGAAGATTGGAGTATTGCTGTGTCAGATAAAGAAGTCCAGCCAGGACAAGAGAGAGGTAGTGTTTATCCTCATATTTAGAGGAATGTGTAATTGTATTCTGTTTAAAATTTATTTGCTTTAATATGTTCCAGATGTTCATAGTTGCCATGTTTCATGATTACATAATTCTATGAGCAGAAAACTGTTTCTTGATGACTCTTATATACCAGATGTTAGTCAGGGTACTGAGAACACACTGGTTCATGTCTCAGGAAGTAAACTGTAGTTCTGTCCAATAGAACTTTCCGTGATAAAGTGTCCATATTTTTGTTTATCCATAGAGTAGCTGCCAGTGTCCAATGAGGCTGGGAAACTTACTTTTGAAATTTCATCTTAATTAACTCACATTTGTAACTTGAGGTTTATGGCTACGATATTGGATACTGCAACTTAATAATTTTACCACAATTTATAAAGTGCAAAACATTTTATATCATGGTGTAATATGTGTGTTAAAATTATCCTGCCATATTTATCAAATTAAAAATTACTTTTTTTTTTATTTGAGGGACAGAGGTACAGCAAGAAAAAGGGAGAAAGGAAGAGAGAGAGATTGAGGAAGACAGCGAGATAGAAAACCTTCCATCTGGTCATTCACTTTCCAAATATCTGCAACAGCTGGCCTTGGGCTAAGCTGCCACCAAATACTGAGACTGAGATTCAGATCTTCCACGTGGGTGGAAGCAGTCCAGTTACTTGGGCCATCTTTTCCATCCCTCAAAACCTGCATTGGCAGGAAGCTGCTGTTCCAAGGTGGAGCCAGGAGTCAAACCCAAACATTCTGATGTGCGACATGGGCATCAAAACCACTAGCACAAATGTTCATTGCTTAAATATATTGCTGGGGTTACAGTTAAGACTTTGTTTTTCCCTTGCCACAAAAATTCATGGCAGAGAAAAAAAATGAGTGAAGAACACCTAGTAAGAATTTTTAATAGCAAAAGTATTTCATTGTTGAAATGTTTTGCCAACAGTAAAGCTACATTTATGTTTTCCTTGTGCAATTGTTACCTACAAAGAAGATGACAACTCCATTAGTTGCCTATCAAGTTTTCAAATGACATATGCTAAGATATGAACATATTAATTGTTACAGTCACAGTTAAATGAATTACAAATATGTTGACTCTAAACATGTACATTTGGCCTAAAGCATAAAACAATAGCAGAATGAGGGAGCTTTATTGTAGCTTAGCATGTTCAAAAAATAAACTTGCAGGTCGATCCTTGATAAATCAACGTGAAATAGCAAAACTAATTGAGATAATATTTGGAAAATAATTAGATTTTATACACAATGAATTGCAACCAACTCAAGTTATGTAACAGGCATTTATTTGAGAATATTATTGTAGGGACAGAATAAAATAAATTTGTTCAAACATAATAAAAACATAATGATACAGCATGTATGTGTGCACATAGATATATGAATGTATATATACAAGGCATTACCTCTGTTGAATGTTCATATATAGAACAACGTATTCTATAAGCATATTTTCATTAAAAGATAATTAATAACAAAGTGCCTAGGATACAGTAGAATTTGGCAAAATAAAGCAATACATTAAAAAAGTTTAAATGAAGAAATATTCTAGAAAAAAAATCGTTTTGCATTAGAATAGACATTTGTTCTCTCCAAAATTCTGTCAGACCGCACCAAACTTCCTGGACAATACCACTGAATGAGAAGTAGACTGTGTGACTGTTGAACTTGCACTTGTAACCATTTTGGACCCATTATATAATAATAATATCATATAACAGCAAATTATTAAATTTATTATTCAAAACCAGCAAGAAAAAGAGAAGGGAAGGGAGGGAGGTGGAGAAAAGAAAGAAAGGAAAGAAAGCAAAGAAATTGAGTTGCTTTAAACTTTTTTCTTGATGTTTTTACTACATATTTTTTTAACATCAGCTCTTAGAAAGTATTTAATTTATTGAACAGGCAGACAGACAGAGGTGACAGATAATTCCCATTCACTATATCACTCCCCAGATACATCCAACAAATTGAACTAGGTCCTCTTGAAACCACAAACTTAGAACCCAACGTAGGTCTTACATATGGGTGTCTAGGGACCAACCACTTGAGTCATCACTCCCTGCCTCCCAGGATGTGTGATACCAGGAAGATCTGGATCAGAATTGGAGTCAGGATTTGCATCCAGGCACCCCTATACAGGATGTGGGTGTCCTGAATTGCATCTTAGCCTCCAGGTCAAGTGACTGCCTCAACCTCAGCTTTTTGGTAGCCTTGTCTGTCCTGATATTTTGTGTTTACATGTTGATCAGGAAGCTATGGGTTCATAGATATTGCCAAAAATCAGGGCCATTCCTCAGCCCCAGGGTTATCTGTGATCTATCTTTGTCCTCACAAATGGAATTTACCCTTGCAAATTGGTGTCCTGAACTTCTTGGATGAATCTCATGAAATATATAACAACAACAACAACAACAACAACAAAAGGCTTAGTTGTTTTGAAGGCAGAGAGAAAGGGACACACACACAGACACACATACACATGGAGAAAGGAAGGAAGCAAGTGAATGAAGAGAGAGAGGGAGGCAGACATACAGATAGACAGAAAAATCTGTCATGTTCACTTTTCAAATCCTTGAGTAGCTACAATGGCTAGGACTGGACCAGGCAGAAGGTGTCTGGAACTACATTTAGATCTCCCATGGGACACTTGGGCTGGCATCTGCTGCTTTCCCAGGCACAAAGTAGGGAACTATTTCGAAGGGGAGCAGTTGGGTCTTGATCTTGTGCCTTGCTGGCTTTGCAGGTGGCATTTCAGCTTGCTGTGCCACAGTGTTGAAGGCTACATATTCTTGTCATGTTGAGTTTTGGCCAAAGCTATTCTTTGCAGGAATAAGACTTGTGTCTGTCTGCCTTACCTCCAAATCTCTAAAGTAAAGCATGTCACATGAAAAATTAATGAACACTGTCTCTCAATAAGGAGGACTTAATTTATATTATACCTGAATAAATGGTAGGCTGAATTCCTGGCAAGCCTATGAAAAGATGTGGTTATTTGATAAGATTGAAGAATGTAAAATGCCTTCCTTCTAGGAACCATTTGAATACATTCAATATTTATCTTATATAGTCATTATGATATTTATTATGTAATTATGCACAGGTATAATTAAAAAAATTCTATAGCATATCTTGGGAACAGAATGTGTGTTTTTCTTTAGAAAAAAATTATATTGCTTCTGAGATTTAGCTATTTTGATTGTAAAATGTCCATTGAAAAATCTGTCAAAGGTTGTTGCATTATAAAAACCATATCACAGCATAATTCAGCTTTTTGTAATTCTCTTGTTTACTATTGAAAAATACTTTAGTAAAGTGATGACCTGTTTTCCTGTTACTTGGGTTGATTTGTTAACAAATGTGATTACATATTTCTATTTTAAGATGAAATGTGTCCAGAATTAAGGCAACAAATGGAAACTTTGCTTTCGGAAGCCATCCATCTTATTAAATGTCTAGAAAGTGACCGGGCTGAAGCTGAGGAGGCTTTGAAGCATCAAAGGATAAGAAAGAAAAAGGTCAGCCTGAAGATTGATGCTTGGTCAATCTGGAAGCTTCAAGAACTCCCACTTGCTGTACAGAAAGGTAATGGTAAGAATTTTCCATGTTGTCATTTACTCTGTTGGCACAACACAGTTAAATAATTGTAGCTCTCCATAAAAACCTTAGCGTCCAGAGTAACATAATTTCACGTACAGACCAAGACTCTTGCCTGAGATAGTAAAAACTCCTAACCTCCATAAAAGTCTTACCATTAAGCATGATGTCATATTTAGAATTTCTTTTTAGAAGGATAATGCCTAGCTCTGTCCTTGCGATCACACCCTGGAGGACTTTGAGGCCCAGGGACTCTTTTTTTTTTTTTTAAAGATTTTCTTATTTTTATTGGAAAGGCAGATATACAGAGGAGAAAAAGAGACAGACATATCTTCCATTTGATGGTTCGTTACCCAAGTGGCTGCAACAGCCAGAGCTGAGCCTATCTGAAGCCAGGAGGCAAGAGCCTTTTGAGATCTCCCAAGTGGGTGCAGGGTCCTAAGGTAAGGCTTTGGGCTGTTCTCTACTGCTTTCTCAGGCCACAAGCCGGGACCTGGATGGGAAACTGGAGAAGCTGGGATTAGTTTGACACCCATATGCTATCCAGCATGTGCAAGGTGAGGATTTTAGCTGCTAGGCTTCTGCGATGGGCCCTAGCTTTTTTTGTGTTTGTTTATGAAATCACTTTCTTGTCATGCCTGCAGATTCATTCCTTCACAGCACTCCCCACCCTCCAGTCCCTACTTGCAATTACATGATCTGTTTTGTGCTCCAGGAAGCTGACTCATATTGGGCTATGTGACAGATATGTTTAGCAGGGTGGGCATTTTGACACAGTAGTTAAGCTGCTGCTTGGAATGCCTGTATCCTGTATAGTGCTATGTCAAATCCTGGCTCCCCTCTACTTCTGATCCTGGTTCCTGTTGATGTGTCTGGAAAGCTAGTGGGTTTGGGGCAAGTTATTTGGCCACCTGAGAAACATGAATAGAAATCCAGGCTCCTGGCTTCAATCTGGCCCAGCCCTAGCTGTTACAGACATTTGGGGAGTAACCAAGACATCAAGTTCTCTATGTATCTATCTTTGTGTGTTTCTGTCTCAGTGTTACTCTGCCAAGTCATCCAGTCAGTCATACCAAAAAAGATATATTTTACAATAATTGGCTCAGCCAATGAGGATCAGTAGCATGAGGCCATGGGGAGATAATAGAGAAGAATAGCTAGCATAAGGGTACTTATAGCCCTGACTGCCTTTCTCTGCTTGTTCACTGAGTCTATTACATCTTGCTCCTGAAATCCACAATGCTACTCATCTTATGTAGCAGAAATGCTGTTCTTTCACTCTCAAGAAAGATTACTAGACATAGGTTTCCCATTGGGGACTGTATGATCCTACAAATTACCAAATTGGATGCCCATAAAAGTATTCCCTTGCAGAATCGAAGGGTACATATCTCACGCCCAATAAGCATCTGCAGATTCCCCTGGTACTGCCATTATCTTGCTTCTATAGAGTCATTGTTTTTTTCATAACCTATGTTTATGATTTCATGACCATTTAATGGAATCAGAAAGAATCATATCTGGTGTATGAATGGATTTGAATAACATGTTGACAGAACTTGGAGCTCTGCTGCATTCCTCTCCTAACATGGGAAATGCTAAGGGAAATTGGAATTCATCCCAGTGGGCAGGATTTTAAACGTCCCATGAAAGAGAGATGCTCAAGGCAGGGAGTTGGAATATCAATATAGGATGAGCAGAGGAAGCTTTTGAGAGCTTTGGGCTGCTGGCCTTTCAGAAATGATAATTATCCCCTTGTAAATGCTCATCAGGGTGCCACTAATAGGTCAATGTGTCTCAGTAATTAATAAACTTAGAATCTTACTTAATGTCTTTTGCATTGACATCTGAATTATTAAGTTTTACTGTAATAATATAATAAGCTATGTGTATCAACTCAGTGGTGCAGTGTATGTGTGTGTGTGTGAGAGAGAGAGTGTCATTTTGACTGACTCCTGGATTCATGGACTTGCCAAGGGAAATTCTTCATACCTTCAGACTGCAAAATCAGTGGTTTGGCTCCAAGCTGTTTGGTTCACGTCTGCTTCATGTGTCTGTAATTCTCTTTGGCTAGCAGCTTCCCAAGCATATGTCTTTCAGATGGCAAATGGTCAGAATATCAAAGGATAGGTAGAAACAGTATGCTGCTCAGGGAGCCGGCTTAAAACAGTTTGATTTTCCCTTCTTCTCTTAAATGTTGACCAAAATAAGTGAAACATCAAACTGAGAATCTATCAGACAAGAAAATATCTATCCACAGGGAGGATAGTGAAAATCATTTGGTTCGTGGTATCTTGCACCTTGTAACTGCGCCTTAATTTGAATTGTTTTGCTGTTGTTGCAATGTATATTAAAATGATCTCTTCACTGTTATTTTCTAATTAGAAAAAATTTTAAACCCTTTGTGATTTCTTTTTGTTGTCTATTTTAAAATCATTGTTTTTAAAGTATTTTCATTGTACTTAGAAAAATTTTTAGAATTAGTTACATCATGGTGAAATTAGAATTTTATCAGTTAAAATATCCAGCTATAACTTCAACTTTGCAATCAGGGAAGAACTCAATGATATCAAGGCTATATCAATTTCCAGATATGTAAATGTATTTTGATTTTAAGAATCATTTAAAATTCTTTGGTAAGTTGTCAAGCAAATGTCAAGCAAATGTCAACTACACGAGGACCAGTTTTTTCAATTTGGAATGGAAACTTCGAAAGTAAGTAGACATCGCTGTGAGAGTCAGTCTTGAGGGAATTCTCAAAGCTTTGATGTCCTGGGGGCTCTCCGTTTTGATATATCTGTCAGATACAGGAAACCAGAAATAAAGCTGAAGCTAACCCAAGGTGGCAGGTCTAATTAAAGATCAAGTCATGCAGCTCAGGATGCAAAGGCCAACATCCCCAGCATAAGAGTAATACATAACATGTCACTCAGGTTGAGTGTCAGGGAAACTGGACTGTCTCACTCAGTGGAGGAAAACAGTTTTTGCAGAGTATTCTTAATGTACTGATTGTAAACATGCTTGTGATTTAGATGTGTCTGAAATAGTTAAGTAGCAGTTGTTTAAGTGCTCTGTGTTAGCAGTTAAGCCAGGTGTCTGGTAGGAGCAAAGACTTTTTATTTTCTTTAAGACTAAAGTTTCAACCTGGGTGCTAAAAAATGAACTCAGATAAAGTTAAAAGAGAGGAATGGTGTCACTTATCATAAACCACACAAAATCCAGTCCCAATGAGTGTGATTCAGTAGGAACTAAACACAGAATTTTACTAAAAATACATTCAGATATTGGTTATACATGTGATTGTAATAGATGTGCTTTATACCTTTCAAAAAATTAAGAAAATAGAAGGGTAAAGAATTGTTTTTCAGAACTAGAAAGCAAAAACAGGTACTAGGAGTTAAAATGTATTATGTAAATTTAGCAATTTAATATTTTATCAAGTTATATTTTAGACTCAGGAGAGAAAGATAATAGCTAAATGTGAAGTCGGAATGAAGTACATGGAAGAAGTCACAGCAACATAAGGAAAATGTAAATGCAAATAAAATATTTAAAAGTAGCATAATAGCTTGGGAAGGTTCATGCCTATTTAGTAAAACATTATTTCAATTTTCTTACATGTTGTTTGATAGTGTTTATAAATTTCTTCCTATCAGCCCTAACTCAGTTCACGCTATGATTGTTGGATTTAAACAGCTTCTTGCTGTTTCTTTGTTGTTGTGAGATTATTGTTCTATTTTTATGTTAATATTTATCATTCATAACTTTCAGTTAATTCTCCCCTGCTTTTAATTGTATCACGAGAAAATAGTAACCCTTTTGTGTTTTTTCTTTTCTGCTGTTTCCATTTTACTTCACCATTTTATTTCCAGGTGGTTTTGGAATGCCCCTGTTGTTTCACGTTTTCTTGCAACATTTATATAAAGTGACTGTTTTAGATGTGGTCATAATAAATGAAATTTGTAATAAACTATTAATTTACAAATCATATTTTTAAATTTTACACTCTGATTCTTTTTTGTCCTGATTATCCTCCGTCTAGAACATGAGGCTTATATGAGAGATATTATTGAATTACAATGGCATCTTGAGGATAAAATCCGTGAAGCAAAACTGATAGAGAAACACAAGGTGAGACTGGAAGAAGCCAATGCGAGGATTCAAGCAGACATAGACTACCTGGTGAATCAAATCCCTCTTTTGGATGCCAAGCAGAAGCTGGAAGTGGAAGCTCTGAGGGAATGTTACCAAAAAAAATTCGAGGTAAATGAATAACTAAATGGCTGTTTCTCACTAATTATTAGTTACACAAAAGCACCTCAACCATAAAAACTTAGCATATATCAGAAGGTTTCATTCTCAGTGGAAGTCTATCTGTTACTTATTTCCTGAAGTATTCACTGAACTATTACAACTACAACTATGCAGTGTATTGGCATGCAATTTAAGTGGATGGTCTTCCCTTCCTTCATTTTGTACTTCAAAATATTTGTGAAAAGTGAAAACATAACTTCAGTGACAGGCATTTGTTGTAGCAGTTAAGCTGCCAGCTAGGGCAAGATTACCACAGACTGAAGAACCTGCATCCGCTTTCCACCACTCCAGGCATTGTGTCCAGCTTCCTGCTGATGCAGATCCTGTAATGGCTCACGAAGTTTGGTCCTTGCCCGGTAATGTGGGAGATGTGTATTGAGCTCCCAACTCCTGTCTTTGACCTACAGGCTAATTCAAACGTTGGGATGTGAACCAGTGGATGGAAACTCTCACTTCTGTCCATTTTCTTCCTCTTTATCTCAGTGTGTGTGTGTGTGTGTGTGTGTGTGTGTGTGTGTGTGTGTGTGTGTGTGTCTATGTGTGTGTGTGTCTTTTGCCTCTCAATTCCTTTTAGGAAAGTGTTATTTTAGTACAAAAATTTGAAATCCATTATGAAGGATCTTTAGAAATTTTATGAGAATTTTATGGTGTGTAGAACTCTTTGTATGGATTTCAAAATATTTCACACCCAAATAAACTTATCATTTAATTCTGTTTTTCCATATACATTTGAACTCCATGATGTATGCTTAACATTTAAATAACCTACTAACATGATTTTTGGAATTCTAATACTTTTTTTTTTTAAAGTTGGAGAAGCAGAGAAGGTGGAAAGAGAGAGAATGAGAACCTACCCACTGGCTCACCCCTGAAATAATACTGTCAGTGACCTGGCCACAGCTGCTCCTTTAATAGCTCACCAGTTGAGCTATCCATGCTGTATCCCAGGTTTTGCATTGGGGAAGCTGGACTCTCGAGCCAGAGGCAACAGCTAGGCTCAGGCGCTCGGATGTGGCATGCAGGCATCCTGAGCAGCTGCTTCACTGCTGGGTCAGATGCCACCTTGCAGCCCAGTCCTTTGTAAAAGCTGTTCATGGATGGAAGGAAATGCCAAGCAGAAATTAACAATTTAATTGCTCATGAAATGATATGAATGTCATGGAATGTGAGTGAGATCATGCCAGACAAGTCTGGGGTATAATAAGCCCAACTTGGTGATAACAGGGCCCACTAGATATTAGCAAATGACAAGTCCATGTGGCAATCCAGTCTGAATTGAAACCCTGAGAGGAACAAATGGACATTACCCTGAAGACATAAACTTCATTAAACTGAAGACCTATGTGTCCCATTTCCCCCCAGGAATATAAGTTATCCTAAGAAACATACAGCGAACAAGCTGGGCACACTTACAAAGCTATATTCACCTTTCCCTGGCTTCTCTGTCCACATTCCATTACTGCTAGGCCTCACCTCTCCTGGAACTTTTGAAAGCACGCAAATTAGAAATACAGATGATCTTAGCATTAACATCTCTACTGTCTGCCAAAGCCATGAACAGAGAGTAAGGAATACAGACATACTCCGTATGTCTATGTGCTCAAGGACTACCTGTCCTGGGAGTCTGTCCATGGGAAGCCAGAGAACAGGCAGGAACTGAGGTGGCCAAGAGTCAAGAGTGCTGGAGAGACTGAACACACGACCAAGATAGCAAGCCCCTCCTTATCACAGGCCTTTAGAGGGTAAGGGGGTGGTTACAAAAAAATGCAATACTGCCGCTCTGAAGGCCTTTTCTGGGACCCCCACATGGATGCAGGGTCCCAAAGCTTTGGGCTGTCTTCTAGTGCTTTCCCAGACCACAAGCAGGAAGCTGGATGGGAAGCGGGGCCACTGGGATTAGAACCAGCACCCATAAGGGATCCTGGTGCATACAAGGTGAAGACTTTAGCTGCTAGGCTACCACGCCAGGCACATGCATTGTGTTTTTAGTGATCAATGAATGTTTAACTTTTTGAAATCATGTAAGGGGAACATCATTTACATCTATAGTGAAATGAACAAATGTAGATTTGTTGTTCTATTTAGGTTTGATAATTTTAAAGTAAATAAAACTATCAAATATCTCATTTAGTTCAATTTCTTTCACTCACCTTCACCAAAGAGAACCATTAATGTAAATTTGACATATTTTTGAGCCTGGTGTGGTGGCCTAGTGATTAAAGTTCTCACCTGCACACACTGGGATTCCATATGGGTGCTGATTTGTATCCTGGCTGCTACACTTCCCATACAACTCCCTGTCTGGGGTCTGGAAAGGCAGTTGAGGATGGCCCAAAACCTTGGGACCCTGCACCTGCAAGGGAGACCTGGAAGAAGTTCCTGGCTCCTGGCTTCAGATTGGCTCAGCTCAGCTCTGGCAGTTGCAGCCACTTTGGGTGTGAACAATTGGATGGAAGATCTTTCTCTCTGTGTCTCCTTCTCTCTGTATATGTCTTTCCAATAAAAATAAATAAGTCTTTAAAAAATTTATTGCTAAGGAAAATGTGTATATTTTATACACCTTTGTCTTTAAGCAATTTGCTTTGTTGCTTGTTATCTACATGAATAATCTGTTTTGCGTAGCTTTTTATAATTTGTAGCCTGGTATTATTTTAGTTTAATAGTAAAGCTGTTCTTCCACATTTTATTTGCCATGTTCTATCAAGTAGATATTTCACAAATTGCTAGTTACTATATTAGCTTTCTTAGCCATCTAATATTTGGTAACTAACCACTGATTCACTGCAAAGTATAATTACCCATGTACTTTTTCTACAGAGCCTGTGTGTGTGTGTGTGTGTGTGTGTGTGTGTGTGTGTGTGCGTGCGTGTGTGTGTGTGCTGTACAAATTTTCTTTGGACAAGTGCCTCAGGGGTATCCCAGGTCACAGTTATCCGTGTTTTTGATGTTAACTAGTGATTGCTGAGTCACTCCCCACAGCACATCTAGCAACGTGTTTCACTGTAGTGGCAGCAGCACTGTGGATGAATTCTTATTTCTCCACCTTGGACAAGAAAGCTAACATCCTTTTTCTCCTGCATATTGCCATTTGCTTTTCCTCCTGATGTTTCTAAGGAGATGTGAGTGGGAGTTATTGGCTGCATATTCTAGGAAATCTCTCTGAAATGGACTAAGTGGGAAGTAGCATCCTTTTGCATTGAAACTTTGAATCATTCTCTGAAGTTTTGCAACCTCTGCATGGTAGTTAATCCCCCCAATTTCTAACTCACACAATGAAGCAGTTTAATCAAACAGCACCATATCTTAGCAAAATGTGCCTGAATTACCTTCTGGCTTGTCAATTAGGAAAGACTTCTTGGAAAAAATAGAATTTGGAAATGTTGGAAAAGATGTTGGAACACGGATTCTCATCTGGTCTACAGTTTGTGAGAGTAACAATTGTTCACCTTTAAGGAGAGTGATATGGGAATCAGTGTTAAAGAAATTCCTTAAAATATACATCATTGCCTTCTGGATCAGCATGTCTTTCTTTTAGCAACATCTAAAGAAAATAATTCAGAATGTGACATTTCCTTACTGGGTGCTTCACCACTGTAACAGTTGTGTATCTCATGAGGTGGTGCGTATCAAGTTGTGTATAATGTTCACAGAATTGATGGTGAATTGAATAATGAATTATGCAGTCTAAGGGAGTATTATGTAGAAGTAAAGTGATGCAGAGACAAAGTCAAGTAGATAGGGGGGAGAGATAAAAAAATATTGTGGCATTAATGAAGAAAAATAATCCTGCTAGATATTTTGCATGTTTATACTGAGCCGATGTATTTGTTCCAGGCTGAGGAGAGTTAAGGTAGTGTTTGTTCATGAAAAAAAAAATCTAGAATAAAACATTATTTAATTAAGAAATCCATGTCAACCAGGATATAAAGTTATTTTTGTCAGTAACTTTTGTTTCATCACAGCATTGATGCCTATATAATAAAGATGCTTCCTGAACAGTAGATAGAATATTGTGTAGGAGAGACTTTTCTGCTTAAATTAAAACTAAAGTGTTTTCTTTCTTTAAATAAGTTTTAACATTTATATATTAGCAAAAGTGTATTTCAATTTCAGGTAATGGAGCTGTGTAGAAAAATTCATGGAGATCTTGAAGAAGCTCTAGAAGACTTTGAAAACACTAAGTTTAAGTCTAAGCAATTGAAGGAAGATTTTGAAAAAGAGATTCTTAAGGATGAAGCAAGCATCAACAACTACAAGTAAAAACTTTTCACAATTGCTAACTATTGCATGTAGCAGTAGAATATTCATTAAAAAGTAGCACATGGCTTGCATTTAAAATTTCAGTTAAATACAAAAAGAATTTAAGCTACTATGTTGTATCATCTGCTACATAAATGAAACTGCATTTGTGTGCTTATGTGAAATTCTCTAGATTCCTGAAACTTTATATTAAAACTTTAAGCCTCCTCACATATTGTCAAATTGCCTAAAGCTATGCTGTAACAATATACATCCCACTTTGTAACAGTGACTGCCTTAGAAAATCTAGCACAGTTTATTATTAAACAAGTTATATAGCAATGTATGAGTTATAAAACAATTATTTTATATTTGGATTTATTTGATTATCAATAAAACATTTAATATGTAGATTAATTATATGTTTTGCATACCAGTAATTGATTTTTTACTTTATTTGTTCTGATACATTTGTATTTATGATATTCTTTTAGCTCCTTTTGTTAGCTTATTTTTCTTTTCTTTTTTTGTTTTTTCTTTTTTAGGAATTGGGAACTTGCTTTGAAATGGGAGAAATAAACTCCACTAATTCCTATTATTAAGGCAGAAGCTAATTTAAATGCAGTTTTCTTTTAAGGCGGATAAAATCAGCTGTTTTTTTTTTTTTCTCCTTAGGAAAGAGTTAGATAAGCTTGCCAATCTATTCAATCACTACATCAGTTCAATAAACAATGTTAACACTGACATTGAGGAGCACGAAGAGGCAGTGACGGAAGTAATAAAGGAAACAAAATCATCAAGGAATGAAGTAGCCAGTTTATCCAAAGTTGTGAGTTTTTTTATATTTAAAACAAGTGTTTTTTTCATTTATAAGCTGTTCAAAGTTTCCCTCTGTCAATCACTAATTACTACTTAGCTGAGTTTCTGACAATGTCAGTGTTGTATTACTGTGCAACAGATGGGCACACACTTACCATGAGCAGCCTGGGTACAGAGTCCATGAGTCAGTGGTGCCTCTGCTCCCCATCTTTCAAAGCTGAAATCAAGGGGCTGCAGCCCTGTGTTCCTTCATGTGGACTGCAGGCGCAGGGGGATTTTGCTCTAGGCTCCTTCAGTTCTGACACGACTCCTTTCCTGTAGATCTCAGCTGATGTTCTTATTTCCTTGGTGGCTGTCTGTCTAGGGCCATTCATTTCAGAGACTGCCTGCTTTCTCTGGCTGATGGTTCCCTTCAGATGTAAAACCAACAGTGGTCTGTATTCAGTCTTTGTGCTTGGAACCACTCCATCCTTCTATTCATAACTCATGTTTCCTGGAGTTGAAAGTATTTTCTCCAGCATGTGCCTTTCTCTGCAGTTAAACAAAATTATAAAGTAGGAAAGGGGAAAAAATGAATAAATTCCTTTGCCAATTTGCATTTCTACCTAAATTGAAAAGATACTCTTCTGTCATTTTTTTATTAAAAGATCTTTTAGTTGTATTTCACCATGGTTTATTAATCGGTAGTTATTAATGAAACTGAGTATGTATTATAATGTTTGTTGATCATGTATATCACATTTCCTACAAAACAAAAAACCATACTCAACAACCCTATTTGTTGAATGATTGTCTTTTTGTTGATTTGTAGGAATTTGTTGTATATTATGGATACCAAACATTTTAAAGATACTTATGTTAATACTTTCTTCACATGGTCTATTTTCAACTCCTTATGGTAACTTCTAATGAGAAAACCTTTGTATTTTAACAAGTACTTCATTTGAGCTTTATATTTTTCTAAACTTCTCTAGGAAATTTCTTTTTACCTTAAGGTCATTAAGGTGTCTCATTCTTAGGTTTTTGAAATTTCCTTTCTATATTCCTGTACTGTCTTTAGAAGAAAGTAGATTTAGAATGTTCAAAACTTAGAATTTTCCTCTATTCTATATTGTATTTAAGAAGTTCAGAAGTAATACATTTTTCTAGAATTTGTAGTGTATATTTCACTCGATAAATGTGAAATCTGTATGAGATCTATAAATTGGTATGATGTGAAGAATGGTTCAAATTATAATTTTTTCTCACAGAAAAACAAACTACAAATATTAATTCCACTTTAATTTGTTGCCACACCTTTATTATATTAGAGTGTAGTGCTGTTTTTTTATCATATATTACACTTATAAGCTGTGTAGATCTCATATCCATTTGCACATCTTTGTTCTGTCTGCTTGGACCAATTTACCTAACAACTCCCTTTATGTATATTTCAATAATTAATATTGATTACACGTCATGATGAACTCTCCAACCCTGTGCAGCTTTGCAGGGTCACATTGCTTGGAACCTGTCATACTCCATATAAATTACAGCACTATCTTCCTCATTAATTTCCTTCAGAGTTTTTAAACTTGTTATTGAATGTGGATTTATTTATGAATTGTGTGGGATAGAAATTATCTTTTGTGGTAGACAATTCTAAAGCATGACCATGATCCATCTTCTTTTTTGTGTGTAATTGGTCTAACCCTTACCAGATTTCTTGTAACTTTCTAGAATTCAAACTGTCTATGCTAAATCAGCCTGGGATCAAGTTTAGACAAGTTACTCTTTCATCTCCACTGATTTTAAAATGATTGTGATATGTTCATAAAGTAGCAAATTTATTTCAGTTTTGTTAATTCTTGATCTGTACCCTGATACATGGGCGATTTAAGTAAATATTGGTAAAAGTCATTTTCTCTGGTTTGATAGTACAATTATAGGAATACTCATTTTGCAACTGTACTACTGCATTGTCTTTTACAATTGTAATTTATTTTTTGGCTGATCTATCACTGTGAAGTTTATAATAAAATCTTAGTAAGATAGTAAATTTTCCCATTACTTTTAGTGCCTGTTCCATGTTGGACAATCAATAGATGCTTGTTGAATAAGTAAGGGAACCGATGAATAAATTGAAAATTGGAAAGAAAAAGAAAGGAAGGGAGGAAAGATGAATGGAAGGAAGGACTAGGGGAGGGAGAAAGAAAGAACGAAGGAAGAGTGGAGATATTAAGATATATATTTGTGAGCCTAAGAAGAGCGTCGTGGAGCATGGAGTTTAGGCATTCACATAGATCTTCATTATTTTGAAGAATTAATGTAGCTTTCCAAAATCAGAGACTATTATAAATACCCGAGAAATATAGCACATTAAAATTTTTTTTTAATTTATTTTTATTGGAAAGGCAGATGCACAGAGAGAAGGAGACAGAGAGAAAACCCCTCTGTCACTGCTTCACTCCCAAAATGGTCAAAACAGCTGTAGCTGAGCTGATCTGAAGCCAGGAGCCAGGAGCTTCTTCTGGATCTCCCACACAAGAACAGGGTCCCAAGGCCTTTGGACCATCCTCTACTGCCTTCCCAGGCTACAAGCAGGGAGCTGAAAAGGAAGTGGAGCAGCAAGCACAGCTGGTGCCCACGTGGGGTCATGGCACATACAAGTCTAGGACTTAGCCACTAGTTCATTGTGCTGGGCCCAAATTAAATACATTAAAAAATAATAATAGTGCTGCTAAATCATTGTGGGTCTTGATTTGACAATCATGATGAAATTTGCTATGCATAAAAAATCTCTTTGGAAGTGTTATCAAAGTGGGAAAATTTATCCTGTGTGAATCTTTTAAAAAATGTTTCTGTTATCTCTGAAATTATGTCTGACCCTACTTTATTTGGTACTGTAATAACATTATTTTGATAAGAAATGTGAATGTATTTATGTTAGAAATTTTGCAATTATGGGAATCATTTGAGGACTACAATACTTTCTAAGAAAGATAAGAAAATGATGATTAGATATATTAATTTTTCTGCATTTTGCACATTATAAAAACCTTTAAGCTAGATTTTCTAGGAGTGCATGTTAAGCACTCAATTAAAAGCAATGATATGCACTATAGCTACGCATTATTTTTTGCTATGCAATTGAAACTCCTAGTTCAAGGGAAAAAGAAAAGATTTGTGCTGCCTAATTGCACATACAACTTAACTGTTTTGTGTAATTTCAAGGCATACTGTGCTTCCTGGTAGCGCTCTTCACTAGCACAAACTTTCTGTGATTTTGTTGTGTTTGGGTCTGCGAAACTACAGATTTCGTTTTCTATCTTTAACATTACTTTTGTGTATCAGAAAGCATGTTAAAACTGATATGCAGTTTAAGATAATATAATGACCAATTTCTTGTTATATGTAAGTATTTTCAAGTCCCTCTTCATCTTCTGTAGCTCAACATTTTAAAAAATTGTTATTTTCAGCTCATTTTTGTGATATAAACTAATAGCCATATATATTTAATTATACCATTTGGGAAGAAAATAAAAACAACTCTTAAGGATTTAGTGATATTAGTGATTTTTGTATCATATTGAACAATGGCACAAGTACAGAATATTGCTTTGAAACTGCATTTATAGATAACAGTTGAAAATAACAATCCTTTTTGCATATAATGCAATGTTTTCATTATTCAGGGGGCATTGTGAGTAAAATGTTATTTTTTGGTACTGAGTTGTTGGTCTGTATGCTGTACAGTAAGCCCAGCCAATTCAGCCTTTTGGTTCATACTTTTTACCTCAGTGTTTCAAATTAAGCAATTTGCTTTTTAAATGTAGGTGTTTTAATCATAAGATGCCAATTTCTTTATAAATGTATATTTCATTGCAAATTTTACTTATAAAACATTAAATGACATCTATTAACATATTTTTATCGATGCTCAGTGTTACCTAAATGTTAATTTTAGATATTGTAAAATAGTCCCTGAATATAAAAAATCATTAGGAATGGATGTTGACATGCAGAAAACACTTTGAGAACATCTGAAGATGATTTTAAAGAGTTTCTTATTTGACCTGTGGAAATGTTGTACTGCATTAGTATTGAACCATTTTAAAATTCATTACATGAACTGTGCTCAGTTATGGTTTATTGTTCCTTTAATTTACTGCTGTGTTTGATTTGCAAGTATTTTATTTAAGATTTTGCATCCATATTCATAAGTGAATATGTTCTGGTGCTCTTAATTGTACTATTTCTGATAGATTTTCTTATCAGAATGATGCAAGTATTATGAAATGGATTTTGAAGCTTTCTTTTGCCTTACTAACTAGAAATTTAATATTTGCTTAAATAAATCTTTTCTCAAAAGTTTGATAGAATCCTTTGGTGAAAAATACCAGATAATCTCTCATATTTTACGTTTTTTGCCATTATTAAAAATATTATTTTCTTTTTCATGAGATATTTCATCACATGATGTGTATTCCTGAAGTTGTTTTATCATTTATTTTAAAGCTTTCCTTTTTTATTTTTATTTGAATGGCAGAGTTATGGTGAGAAGGGAGAGACTGAGAATCTTCCTCCTGCTGGTTTACTCGCCAGATGTTGCAATATCCAGTGCTGGGCCTGGCTATCAAAGCCAGGAGTTAGGGGCTTCATCCAGATTGCCCACATGGGTAAAGAGATCCGGGCACTTGGGTCATCCTCTGCTGCTTTTCCAGGCACATCAGTGGTATAGATCTCATTTGGGGATGGGATAGGGACTGGAACTAGCATTCATATGGGATGCTGGTATCATCGCTGGTGGCTTAACTTGCTATGCCCTATTTTGTACAGAAGTGTTTATGTATTTGAAAGAATGACTGAAAGGAGAAGATAGAGAAAGAGAGAGATCTATCTATGTGCTGGTACACATCCCAATTACAACAGCTGTGGCTAGGTCAGGCAGCAGCTGAGAGCTCAGAACTCCATTCGGGTCTGATGTGAGTGACAGGAACACAAGCACTTCAGCCATCATTGCATCACCTGCTGCCTCCCAGGTGCATTAGCAGGAAGTTAGAACAAAAGCACCCGGTAGCTGAGGCTGGAGCCAGGAACTCTGACACATGAAGTGCATACTCTAAGCAGTAGTTTAACCTGCCATGCAAAATGCCCATTCCTGGATTCTAATTCCTAATGGCCTTGGAAAAATGTAAATGAATCTATATCTTCAACTGTATTACAATATTATGGTATAGAATAATCTTATGCATTTGCTATATCTTCTGTATAACTGTATAAGCATTGTCTGCTCTTATTTGATTTGCAAATATAAAAAATGTAATCTTTTTTAGAAAAGGTAATGATTGCTAGATTTAACAGTTCTGTTATGTTCCGAATTTGATGCCAATGCTTGTTTTTATAGATATAATTTCCTTCTTGTTTCTTTAGGCTTACTCTCTCTACCTTTTCTTAGCTCCAGAAGTCCTACAGTTTTATTTCTCATCACATTTCTGTGTTCTCTGTCTGCAAATTCACTGCCTTGCCCTCTCACTTAGGATTCTCTTATAATGCTTCTTTTCCTATCCACTCACTACATTTTCTACGAATGGATACTGTTTACAGAGAGAAGGAGAGACAGAAAGATCTTCCATCTGCTGGTCCACTCCAAGTGGCTCAAATGGCCAGAGTCAAGCACATATGGAACCTGGTCTCCCACGGAGCAGAGGGCAGGGTTGCAAAGCTTTGGGCCATCCTTGACTGCTTTCCCGGGGCCATAAGCAGGGAGCTGGATGGGAAGTGAAACAGCTAGGACATAAACCAGCACTCATCTGGGATCCCTCCACATGGAAGACCAGGACTTTAGCAACCAGACTACTATGCCAGGCTCCATCTTATTTTTTAATTGATAGAATGATGTATAATTGAAAACATTCTAATTTTTAAAATGTTGTATAAATAAATATTGTACTTATGATTGATTATTCATTGAAATAATAACAGGATTGATTTTTCATATTTTATTCTGATTCTTGCATTCATGTTCACAAATGGGAACACCCTGTGGTGTTATTGTATACAATTTTAATTAATATTTACTAAGTATTGATAACTGCATAAAGTACAACCTATCTCTATAAAACAAAGGAGATTCCCACAGTTTACTTGTCTGTGCATTTTTTTTTCTTAGCTTGATGATTTGAAGAAAACATTTGATCAACAAGGCTGGAAACAAAAAAACTTTGAGCAACAGTATCTGGATGCACTAAATAAATTTTATGCTGCGGTAAGTTGATGTTTTTCTACATTCCAATAGAGCTCTGTCATCTATTGCCAAATATTAAATCATCTAATTAATATTAATTTTATTTTATATGCTATATTTTTGATAATTAAACAAGCATAAATGATGCTTCTATTTTCTTAAAGAAAAAATCATGGGCTGTTGAGATTTCTAATGTCTCCAAAGAGTATTCGGAAATTTCATTAGCTTATATGCAAGTGATGGAAGAAAAGAGAAGACTTGAGATTGACATCGACAATGTAACAAATCAAATCAGTGACAGGTGATTTTGAATTTTTAAAATATATGTATTTGTTATGTTAAATATAGTTATTTCCAATTAGTGTCCCTTGGTAGTATGATGGTGTTTGTTTTTGTCATTAGCTTTTTACTTAGTTCTTTTCCAAATGTTACTCTGAAACCACTCTGGGTCCCTTTAGAAGTAGCCAAAGTATGAAACAAAGCTGATCATATAGGGAATTTTATTGATACTCACCTCACCTTTTGGGGCGTATCTTCCTAGACTCAAGCATAGTTTAAATTTAGAATGTCTAATCAAGGCCATAATTGCCTTTAATCAATCTAAATGTTTTCCCACATCTACTACTCCAGTTTTCTTAGCTCAGACACCTTTTTTTTTTTAATTCTTCTTTCTATTTCAACATTTTTATTCAGCAGTTTGACAAAAACAGTTCCACATACTGAGTAATGTTTTTTATTTGTCCACTTGGCTACTCCACCAGAAATTTAGTGCAAGCCATTATGATGCCTTGCATTAACTTGCAATGATTTCCACCACTGGTCTACATCCAGTCACTGTGTTCTCTCTCCAATCCATTATCTGCTCTTTGATAAGCATGCTCTTTTTGCAGAGCTGGAGGGACAATCCCCTCTTTGACAAGCCACCCATGGCCTCTTGAATAGGCATATCTGAAATTTCAATCCTGTATTATTTCTGGTTCACCATCATTACTTGGTTCAATTGTTGGATTTGCTTTGGTTTTCCATATGTGTCTTATTTGTTTCCCAGTCCACATGAGGTTTTATGTTATTTTCCTTTCCTTGCATGTTTTGCTCCTGATGTTACATAACTGTCATTTGACTTTAAAATGTCAGTTTTAGAGTGAGTTCTGGAAAGCCTTTATTGATTGTTGGGTAGGTGTCACATTCACAATGTGTGATGTGCGTTGTATCACTGTGTGAGCGTGTGTCTGCATGTGCATCTGATTGATGTGTATCTGTCTCAAAACCAGAAAACTCATGGGGGCCAGCAGAAGTCACAACCATTTTTTTTTCTTCACAATTATTGAGTCCTCATTATTGAACATATTCCCTGGCACAAACTGTGGTATTCATAATTCAGTATTGAATGGGAAAAAGGAGCTTTACCTACATCGTCCACATGGGTGGCAGTGAAGCACCTGGGCTACCTTCCACTTTCTCAGGCCATTGAGTTGGATTGAAATTAGAGTAGCCCCCGTGACACAATCTTACATCCATATCAAATGTAATGTTACAAGCAGCAAATTTACCTGCTCCACCACACAGAACACTATAGGGAAGGATTTCCGTGACATGTATCTTGCTTGCCCCAGTTAACATTTTAAAATGTCACACAGAGGCAAATATAATTTTGCACAGTTTTGAATTTCTTGTAAAAGTGCTGGATTATTTTATGAATCCTTGTTTGGACTAGGCATCTACATGTAATTTCTTCTCTCTTAAACAGCAGGTGAATAGTTATTTTAGAGTTTGTGTCTAGACATGTAAGAGCCTGCAGGTCTTTGTAAGTACCTTATTTTTAGGGGTTTTATCCTTAATCGGCTTTGCTGTCTGTGCTTCATTTTCTTTTGGACAGTAAATTGAAAAATCTTTGAGTCCTATGCCAAGGCCAAGTTTATTGGTTGTAACCTTGTATTTGTAAAAGAAGTTCTGTTTGTCAGTTTATGTCCTTGGCTATGCCATAGACTGGTTTTGTGGTGGTTGTCGTTTGTGTCCTAAGCCAAGATGAGCAAGATTCCATTTTTACAAAATCTTCCAGTGCCTTCAAGGGTCAATGATATCTTCTGTGATCTCGTTAGTATTGTAATTATAGTGCACATGTGTTCTAGAAAATTTGGAAAATACAGAAAGTATAAAAAGAGGTGAACTTCAAATCATCCTGCATTCACGGACATTTTACTAACAATGTATTTTTTCTTTTTTGCTGAATAACTTTTTGTAATTCCTGATTTAATACTAACATGATACAAAATTTTTTTGTCACATTGTTTTATGTATGTCCTACACATTTCCAAGATAGATGTATAAGGTCTGTTATACAGATAAGCTATGATTTGCATGACAGTTATCATAATTTAAGTTTTAAATTTTTGTGATGTGTTATAAATATTGCATTGGGAAATATTTTTTCTCAGAAATATTTTTCTAGCATCTAGGTCATTTAGAATTGTATCAACTATATTGCGGTTTAGTGGATCATAGGACTTCTAACAACTACTTAGAAAATATAAGGGAGAATATTTCATTTATTATAAAATTTTGCTCAAATGTAATTAAAGAGTTGTAAATAAGAATTAGGAACCTTTAATGAAGAAAGTGCGAAAATACTTGAAATACAGTTTTTAAAATAAGTGAGTAGAAGGATTTGCCAAACATTTAACTATAACTGAATAATGAGAAACAGTCAAATTCTAACCAAATAAATTAAGAGCTTTATTTTGATGATAGCTAAACTTTTAATGTAATATTAGAGTTTAATACAATAGTCACCAGGTGAAACTAACCCAGGTTAATTTTAAAGTGAATTTTCTGAGATACAAAGCTCTATGATATGTTTAACTGTGAAAAAAGCTAATTATAAAAGCTCTGTAGTATTGGTCAAATTACAGATAAATAGAAAATTGAAACATTTATAGATACAATATTGATGAACTAACATGTTTTTAAAAAGTGTCTTGCAATACATTTGAGAACATCAAAGCTGTGCACAGAAGATGATATAAAATTATTGAAGCAAATAAAAGAAAATGTAAATGAAGAATTGAAACATTTAAACTAAAGATATACATGCAATCTCAAACAACTTCTTAGAGAATGTGATGTTTGTGTACATGTGTGTATGTATATGTAGAATTAAAGCCGATTCTAAAATTTATATGCAAAACCAAGGAGGAAATAATACTCATAAGATGTTAAAGAAATACTAAATTTGGGAAATTGTAATAGTATTTTTTGATAGCTAAAAAAGCTCAGTGTGTAAGATGACTTGTAATTGGAGCAAAGACAGATATCTAGACCCCCTGGAAATGAATAGACAGCCCGGATTGATTCTTGATTTGTTGCAATGGTGCCAATGCAGCACCAGAAAAAGTGCCAGCATTCTAATAGCCTTATGAAAAAAATGTATTTTTGTCCCTATCTACTAACATAGACAAAAATCTGTGTGTGTGTGTGTGTGTGTGTGTGTGTGTGTGTGTGTGTGTGTGTGTGTGTGAGATCATGGTTGTAAATGGGAAAGTCAAAACAACCAAAATCTTCTGATAAGACAGAGGAAAACATCTTTATAAATGCAAGTCAGTTTTCTAAAACAGGACTACACTACCATGAAGAAAAATTTTAAACCAGTGAAAATATAGACTACAGTGAAAATGTGAAAAAGAGAAAAGGTATGTGTAATACCTGTAACTGAAAAGGCAAGTCCATACAGAAAAACAGATGTGCTAGTTTTATGTGCATAATGATAAATGCAACATAACAAAATAAAACTTTGAAATCAATAAGAAACAAGTAAACAGTCCAATAAAATAGATGGGGACTTGAACAAACAAAGGCAAAAAAATGTATAATAATTAGAAAAGGATGCTTGATTTCAGTCATCGAGGAACATACAACTAACACGAAATTTCTCACCACATCTTTCTGAATGGCTGAAATGTAAGCGTTTCTATTTTAGATTTCATAAGGGCATTGCAGTAAACAGGGCTCTCAGGTTACCACTGGGAGTGGAATTTTGAATAACAATGTTAAAATATGTTTTGGAACCAGCATGATGTTCTAGCAGTCAATGTTCTTGCCTTACACATGCCAGGATCCCATATGGGTGCTGGTTCTAATCCCAGCAGCCCTGCTTCCCATCCAGATTTCTGCTTGTGGCCTGGGAAAGCAGTAGAGGACCCGGAAGAGGCTCTGGGCTCCTGCCTTTGATTGGCTCAGCCCCAGCCATTGTGGCTACTTGGGAGTGAATCATCGGACAGAAGATCTTCCTCTCTGTCTCTCCTCCTTTCTGTGTATCTGACTTTCCAATAAAAATATCTTTTTTAAAAATGTTAAAGTATGTTTTAACATGATTTACAACACACATAAATGTACCTGTTCCTAAAGATACACCCAGCAGTCATTCATACACATGTGAAACCAAGAATCATTTACAGAAATATTCATGGCAGCATCATTTTAACAGTTCAAAACCAGAAAATATTTAAATAAACATCAGGAATCCAATGGATAATAAAATGTAGCATAGACATCCAAAGTAGTACAGTGCAGGAATGAAAATGAACAGATTTGAACTTCGTACAACTTCAGTAAATCTCATAAATATTATGTTAATCATGAAAAGACAAAAAAACCAACCATCTGTAACATGACCTTCTTCAAAATTATAGGCTAAACTTTGGTGATGGAGGTCCAGTTTGGTGACAGTGACTAAGATAGCACCCACCACGGGCTTCTGTTGGCCACAGTCACATGTAGATTTTATTTTGTTTTAGGGTATTACTAGAATGTTCATATTGAAAACGGATAGAGATGATGTCCTATTTTCTATGAAGGTTCTACTTCAAAAACAGCGTACTTTAGAAACAAGAAGCATGCAGTTTTATAAATTGTCAATTTAGTGTAACCAAAATATGTTCAGATACCAATCTTTTAGTGAATTCATATGGCATACACACATTAAAATAGTTCTATAGCTGCAATGAGTATGTAAAAACACAGACACACATACAGGAAAACTTCTTGTCTTCCATGAGTCCCTAAAAAAAAAAACCCAAAATTCTCATTCTAGAAGCTATAGTCTCTTGCAGATCAGTATGCTCCGTAAGTAGTGCCAGGAAGGGATGGGCATTTGGCCCAGCAGTTACGACAGCAGTTGGAAGCTCGCATCCTGTATCAGTGCTTTGGTTCCAGTCTTGGCTCCATTCCCAATGACTGCGGTTATTTCCCAGTGTTGACCTTAGCAGGATGCAGATGATGGCTCAAGTACTGATTCTCTGACACCCA